TTCTGATGTTTTTGGTGCAGTTGGCTCTGATTGAGTGGCATTAGATTTGCTCCTAGTTCTCGGTGGAGATTTATCTTGTTCTGGTTGCTTATTTGATTTATTTTTCTTTTTTTTTTTATTAGGTGAGTTTTGTCCCGATCCGGGAACTGAGTTTCGGAGACGCTTTTGGAGTGTACGCCTTTTCAAATATTGCGAGTCGGTCTCGCTAATTTCCGAAAAGGGTGTCTCATCTTCCGTGTCTTCACATGATGTGTTCTTATCCAGATCCATCATGATAAGTGTTAGAGAGAAAAAAAAAAAAAAAAAAAAAAATATGTATATATATAAACCTAAATATTAAAATTAAAATTTATGAGATAACTTCTTAAAAACTAAGCTATTTACAAAATTATTTACATAAATATATACAGATATAAAATAAAATATAAAATAATTCATTTCCAAAAAATAAATAATCAAAGAAAAAAAATTAAATAAAAGAGTCTCTGGAAAGAAAAAAAAAAAAAAGAAAATATAAAGAAAAAAAAAATGAAGTTAAATGTCTTGGATTCGAACTGAGAATAACACTGAAGAATGTTATTGTACACAGTGCCGAGCCTTGGCTTGAACTTATCGGAGATAAGGTAAAACCCGCAAGGGAATTACTAGCCACATGGGCTAACCAAACGAGCACTAATTTATAACTGTTTCATTGTTAATAAATAGTCACTCACCTGATCATATGTGAATATAAAAATGTAAAACAATTAATATAGTCACTGTTGAAAAAGTCTTAGAGCAGTATTTTAAATAACAAGCACATTAAATCGTATCAAGGATAGAGCGACGTGTAAGTTTAATTGCACTAGCGGCCATGACACTTCTCAGAAACTTAAAATCGGTTCTGCATACTGTAAGCGAGGAAAATGTTCTGCAGCATTTCATGCTCATTATAGTGAGCTATAGTTTACAATTTATATTTCATATCATTAACCTTGCCTTGTTGATGTTTTTACTTCTCAAATACACACCTTTTTTTTTTATTTAATATTTTTTATGTCATGTTTGTTTGATAAAATAATATAAACCCTCCACTCTTTAAATTTTTATTTTCTTAGGAAGTACCACGCTTCAGACTTTTTATCCTCAATTCCACCATCTCTAACTGCTATGCTCACAGACTCAATCGGCAATTTAAATAAAAAACTAATAAAAATAAACTTGAAGCGTTATGAACATTAATATAAACTATAATATCATTTAAGAACTTTATTAAATCATCTGCAGATTAAAAATTGGACATTGTGAGTTCTCACACGCCTGCCTACTAAAAGGACTTGATCCTCCGACCTGTGAGAGCTGCAATGTCCAAAGAACTGTACGACATATTCAAGACTGTCCTACACAAAAAAATATCAGAGAAAATTTGGATATAGCACCGAAACTATCAGAAAACCTAAAAGACAACAAAAAGGCTGTCAAAAAACATAAACGCGGTGAAACTCTATAATAGAATTTAATTAGAAGGTGTTGGCAATGATCCTGCAGGTTAGATGCAAAAAAAAAAATAAATAAATAAATAAATAAATAATTCATTTTTACTTTTCAAATTAATGTGCTATGAGTACTGTGTTCATAAATCGAGAAAATAAAAATTAATTATTCATAACAATTATTATTCGTTATCATTAACTAATTTAGTTTATCAGACATCTATGTTGATATTTTGGGATTTTCGTCATTTTTTTTTTTAATGGAAAATTTTAAATAAGCAGTCTACATTTATTTCATAATATTTTTATCGATATTATCCAACCTATTATTTTTATTTCTACTTGAAACCCTAAATAGTTTTTTTTTTTTAAATATAATAATATAATTGAAGGAATCCCATCTTACATTAAGGTAACGTGAAATTACGACCGGTAATATAAAGAGTATGTGATGAATCTTAATTTAACTTCAATTTTTTTTTACGGTTATATATAAGGCCTAATTATTTGTATCTGACTTTGTGAGTTGAAATAAACAATTAAAACTAAGAATAAGAAGTTAGAACGAAGTATAAACTATGGAAGATGGCTGGTAGTAAAAGGTATTAGTAAAGGTTTGTCGCTTTACGAGGACGATCCCGAGTGACCGGTGTAGCTGCTTAATGCCTGAGCACGCTCGTCCCACCTCGTCTCCTGTCTTCCTCCATTCAGTCCCTTTCTCTCTTCTTTTACAAATTCATATATATATCCTCATACATACTAATATATGTGTGTGTGTGTGTTTATATATATTTAGTTTTTTTTTTTTTAAACCCTGATTTCATACAAAAAGGAGGAATGTTCTGGAGGTACAACCAGACCTACTTTTTTTATCAGAGTGAGAAGGTCGAGATTCATTCCGTGAGTCCGCAGCGAAATAAATTTCAGCCCGCCGAGGCCGGAATTAAACCGGGATCGCAGAGTGGATCTACACGATAAGTCATGAATGAACGAAAAGGATTGCTTCAATCATGATGATCCTTACACGTATCAATCAGACTGACACATTTTAGGTCAGTTGAGGTTGAAATAACAGACAGTGTGGATCTGGTCCATTGTCCACTTATAATAACGTGTTTCATTAAACGCTTCTTTGGTCATCATCCTTTATAACACTGGACAATAAGAGAAAAATGGAGATATAATAATTATTTCCTAGTGCCAGAAAATCGTTTTGACAAAATTAGAAAAAATATAATTTAACTACGTACAAAAATTAAGGAGAAGTATAGAGAAAATAATAAATTTGTTGAGAAAAACGGAAAAATAACTGACAAATATACACAGAAGTTACAGATTTACTTGACTATTTTAAAAAATCAGTTAAAGATGGTTTATAAAAATATAAACAATGGATATTTTTTATTTATTTATTTTTTTTATTGTTCTTCCCTACCTCGCCTATTAGGCTATACGGGATTTTCCCGTGCCGAGGGGTGAGGGCGAGGAATTTAAAATCCCCTCCGGCACCGGGAAGCGAACTTGTACTTTTTAAATCTCAAATCTCTGTTATCTGGTTGCCAGGCAACTAGCCGTGCTTTGCACACGCTTTAACACATTCGGCCATATAAACAATGGATATGAAAAACTATTCACTTTTAATGAAAATCCGAAATTTTAGTTAGTTAGGAACTAACCTAACAAGTAGTATGTTTGACCTCAGTCTCCCCTCCACTTCTCGTGAATGAACCCTTGATTTCCAGATCTTCGGAAATCCGTCAGTCACGTCCATCAGTCATTCCTTCAATCAGTACCTTACACGATCAATCAGAACGTCAATAGAATGACCGTGTACGGTCCGCTCTAGATTCAAGAACGTTAAAACGGGCAATGGTCGGACATTACTATATATATATGTGGTATCCCGTTAGTACAAGAAAATATTAAAGAGGTGATAAGTAGTTTATATATAAAGTTTATATATAAACAATTGTCCGATTTTGTGCAAAAAAGTAGGAATTTATTTGGCTCATTATCACTTTAGATGATAAATAGTTTAAAAAATCATTATTCTTAATAGTGGATTGAGAGTTGGCTGTAGTGAACAATTGAAATTGGTTTGAATGTTCAGTCAAAATACAAAGAAAAAATAAATAAATTATTTTTATTTTTGCCGACGTTTCGGCACAAAGCTCAGGCCTTCAACAGATCTCACGAAAGGTTCCCGTAAGATGAGCTTTGGGCCGAAACCTTGATAAAAAGAAATATAATTTATTTATTTTTCTTTGTGTTTTTTTACTGAAAATTCCAACAATCTCTTCTTTCATTATTCTTAACTTTTTTATTTATTATTAAAAATTGCACTTATGGATTTATGTTTATTATAAAACATCCCAGGAAATGGAAAAATAAATAAATTAAAGCTTTGTAAAAATTTATTGTAGTCATTTTTGCTGAAAACACGGGTACTTTTAGATGAGAGGATATGAAGACAAATAATTTTTTACACGATTTGAGGTGGATCTTAAGTTATTTCGTAATTAACCTCAAATTAATTAGTATTGCCTTAAAGCATATTAAATAAGGACTTTTTTTTAAATACAAAACTTAGCTTAGTTAACTGTGGTCTCATTTTAACAAAAAAATATTTAAATATTTTTTCATAATTAAGGCAAAAAAAAAACTTCCAATTTCCTTAAAATCCCTTTATTCACATTTATCACCTCTAACGTTTCGGGACAATTTTCCCATCATCAGAGCAGTCCTTATATCCACTGAAACTATGCACATTTTTAAATTTATTATTTTTGTGATGTACAATTATTATATATTTATTTGGTGTTACACATCCTTTTTTTATTCATTGTTACACTAACCTACATCTGGCTATCTTCAATAGCATTACTGTACTTTGTACTTGTCCTCTTATTTCTTATTATGGCTGCTTGTTGTGTTTTTTTTTTTTTTGTTTTTTTTTTGTCTATTGTTGTTTTTTGAATTTCAATATTGGATATTATGTCCGAATAGTGTGTACCCAAATGTTTTGTATCTGTTTTATAGTTTACTGTTCTATTATTGTTTTTTGTTATAACTATGGCTTCCAGCAGTTTCCTATTGTTTGATTTAGGTTCTATTGCTAATATGTGTTGGTTTTTGAAGTCAAATGTGTGTAGTTATTTAATACTGTAGTTTGCTAGGTCTGTTATGTTAATTTTTCTACTATTTTTGCAGTTTGATGTATGTTGCGATGTTCTGTTTTTTAATTTTTTTGATGTTTCGCCTATATATATTTGTTGACAGTGTTGGCAGTCTAACTTATACACAACATTTTTCTTGTCCAGTGTTTTTATTTTGTCTTTTGTGTTTGTCTAGTATTTACATAATTTTTTGTTATTATATATGCCAAACTGAATTTCCGGCAGGTCATAGTTCATGAATACTTTTTTGATTTGTTTTGTCAGTAGTGGTATGTATGTTATTTTATTTTTAAAAATATATATATTTAAAATTATAATTGCGATAATTGTATAAATTGTTTTTTCCCTTGAGGTGATCCACTGCTCAGGGTACCTGAAGGTGAAGCAGTTCCCGATCGAGGGTGCCGGGTTCGAGACCTGCTACCAGAACGTGGGGCTGGTGGCCGTGGGGCACTCTCTGCCCCCTTCCGCCATCACCGAGATCAAGCTCCACTCCAACATGTTCATGTTCAGGGCTTCCCTCGACCTCAAGCTCATCTTCCTCGACGCCAGGTAAGTAATTGAAAGTATGAATTTTGTCTTCCTAATATAGTAAGGAAACCGATTAGCCGTTCATCAGTTAACGAATCGGAGGCAGTGAAGCCTTTATAAGTAATGGTTTTATTCATAATGTGTGTTACAAATGGCATCTAACATACAGAGAATAGTAATATACTATGGATATATGGTTTGACTACACGAGTTCACTCCAGGTCTCCTACAGTGAAGAGTTTGACTTCAAGAATGTAACTGCATGAGTGAGTAGTCCAGAGGAGCATGGGATTTATTTGCCCAAGAATAGTAAAGGGGTGAATGGAAGTCGGAAGAGGACGGCAAAGGAAGTTATCGATAGTTAATATTCTTAAGATCGTCAAATCTGTGAGAAAGTGTCCTTTTGCTGAAATCTGTTATTGTTCCATAAGTCTTGAAAATGGGTCTTCTGTCCAGTCGGTACATTCTAGAAGACTATTTCAAAGCTATGAGAGATAGCTTGACCTGGCTATCTAGGGATGCTTTATTCTTTTATCCTTTGAGTCCTGAGAAAGGTCAATACAATCCATGATTCACCAGTTGGCATATTAAATAAAATAAAAGTTAAATTAATATTATTATTATTATTTGTAACGGATTAATTCCATTCCGGAACTATCGAAAAGTACCACGATAAAAAGGTTACTTTTGGCCATCGATTGATTGCACACAGACATGACGGATAATGCCGCCCCTCTCAGCTTCTCTTATCTCCAAAAACAATCCTCGAGTTTTAATTACAAATTAGTTTATATCATTATTATATTTATAGGTGCCTAATTGAGACTTTTTTGTTCATCAATTTTTTTTAGGAATCTAAAGATACAATTTAATATCAATTATTTCACTCCTCTAAAATTACCTAATATAGGAGTGGTGGCCACAAGACCTACTAATTTAATTTGAATCACTGTTCAAGTGAGGCCAATAACCGTGTGTGCGAAATATAATAACATTAACAATGGCAATAAAAAATAACTGCAAAGCATTAAAACTGGAGGTAGGTTTAAATAAGATCATCCTCATTTTGATAGAAATGATGATTTCTGTAGTCCTTCCGCAGTTTACTAAACTCTAAAATAAATTATTTAAAGCTCGGAAAATATCTAATGGACTTTTATACAAACTGGGTAAAGCCTATGGAACAGAGGAGTTACATTTTTTTGTATTGACAGGTGATTCCATTATTTTTCATGAAATTTGATAACCCATACTACCAGAGCCCGATGGTTCCGAAATAAAAAAAGTAACTTAATAATAGCGGAAATAGAAAACTTATTCACTGTCAAAGTTCCTAACTCTTGTTATGGGACTCGTGAGGGAATTGAATTTTTATGACTTGAATTTAAATTCAACCATGAATACGAATTGATTTCAAAGACAAAAAAAAGCGCAAGCTGAAGGTGTCTTATTAAGACCGGTTTCAGTCGGTATACATGAAATTTCACAGTAAAGCCACAATCTGGTTGGGACACGATTTCGTAACAATTGGCTGAATGGCCCATATATATTATCAAAGAGGCACTTTAAAAAAGTAGACGCTAGATCATGAATCGCGTTATGTTTTCTTCCTTTTTGAAATTTTATGTGTTTAAGTTTAAAATTGGTGTATAGTTAGTATACTTACTAGAGATTACTGTTACACTGAAGATTGCACACCATATGGATCTAGAGTTCATTTTATGAATTTTCTTCATTTCGATCAATCTAGGAATAAATAGATTAGAAAAGAAATCAAAACTCATTATGATAGATTTTTTTAATCAATACAAGAGCAAAGTGGCCAAGCAGAATGTCTCGATAATTCCATCCGCAAAGAACAAGCTAGTTAACAACGGGTGAAAATTTAAAAAAAAAAATGTATCAGATGTCTATTTGAATAGGACGGCGGAAGGTGTCCAAGTTCCCGCGGGAACTGTATCACCTGGGGGGGGAGCGGGGAAGGGGGCGGAAGTGTTGTTTTAGCGCGCGGCGCACGGCCCATTAGATCGCTGCTGGATCAGGTGTCGTGCTAATCCCGCCCCCGCTATTTGCTCAAGGACCTACCAGCGTTCTTATATGTATATCTATCCTCTTCGTCACGTGGCGTATTCAGTTGCTGTGCACACACTCAATTGGCAATTGATATAAAAAAACACTCATCTGATGTGGTGGAGGAAGTGATTGAGTGTCCAAAAAGACCGGGTGTGCCTCGACCAACAAGGGGTTGTCCAAACACAAACCGGTGGGCAGATTGAAGTGGTTCTCACTACCACCAATTATCAAAAACATTTTTGTTATTTAGATTCTATTTCAACTTTTTACTAATGGTGTCTGTTATTCTTGATCCAGACGTTTTCCGAAAGTAACAACAAACTTTTTATACGAACTTCCATGAGTCATTGTAAATATCCACATATCTGTGGTGCATTCATATCATTTGCATTTGGCAAGAATCTGGATTCACCTTTAACATGTATAATGGAATAATTTTCCAAAATGGCTCCCATCCCCTTTAGACTTCTCAGCGGGGCCATGGTCTCACAAAAGAAAAAAATCCTTGTAGCACTATGTTTTCTCATTAACTGGGGCCACAAGTTTCGAAGACAATATCTTAGCTGTTACCTTTATCTTATAGTACATAAGTTTTTTTAATTTTTTATATTTCTCCTTTGAACTAATCTTACAAACAATAAAAAGAAATTCTCAAAAGAAAGGATTTCTTCTAAAAACCATGAAATCTAGAGGAGTGCAAGATGATTTAGCTATAGCCCGCTCCCTTCCTCTATTAACTTCGAAAAAAAGTTTTAAAAAATCTGAAAAAATGTATTAATAGATTGATTATTAGTTTCTAAAGAATATTTGAAAGAAACTAATTACGAAATAAAAACTAATTCCTCCAAACTTATTTCAGTCTTTCCGTCTTGAATATTTGCTCCTATTTTTTACCTCACGGAAACGCATTACCGAAACTGTTAATTAAAAAACCAATTTACGCCTCAGTTACATAGCTGACGTCGATCGTTGTGGAGAAAAATTCGTGTGTAACTTTTTTACGCTCCTTTGCAATTGTCCACCAGTACACTTTAATTCCTCCCAGCTTCCTTTCTCAGACACAGAACGGTATTTTGACTTTATTTTAGACCGAAGACTAATATGGAATCCACATACTACACTTAAAACACAAGAACTCAACCTACGATATGGCCAGCTATATAAATTACTGAATAGAAATCCTCAACTTTCAATTAACAACACATTGCTGATCTACAATACATCCTTCTTCTAATGGCACAACACACGCATTTAGCTGTCCTTAGCTTGCTCAACCAGTCTTTCCCACTGTGTTCTATCTTCTTCCATGGTGATACCTATTCCCAATTTTCGAATGTCGCTGTTTACATTGTCCTGACATCTAGTTTTTACGGATAAGATCAGTCCACAAAAACAAATGCTACAGACTACAGTCGATTTATATAAAAATATTTTATTTTTCGAAATAAGTATTTTGGCAAAATTCGGGAAATAAACCATTCAAGGTTTGTCGTTTGATTCGAGATGAAAAATTCCCTAGATGGAAAATATTGTTACTGTTGAGAATAAAAACTCTTACTTTTTGGTTTCTATTATATGTTATTAGGAATGTGGAGAAAAAATAATAATAGAAAAACAGATTTGTTTTTATCACTATCTTTTCTTTACAGGGTTTCTCAACTGACTGGCTACGAACCACAGGACCTAATAGAAAAGACATTGTACCAATACATACACAGCAGCGACATGATGCACATGCGTTACTCTCATCACACGTGTAAGTACACTGTTAATTCATACTGTTGTCTCAGCTAACGTAACACGTCTCTACAAATATAATTCAATAATTTTAAATTACTGACAATAATATTTGTTGCAGTGTTAGCCAAAGGGCAGGTGACGACCAAGTACTACAGGTTCCTTGCTAAGGAGGGCGGCTGGGTATGGATGCAAAGCTACGCGACCATCGTCCACAACTCCAGGTCAAGCAGGCCTCACTGTATTGTCAGCGTCAACTACGTCCTAAGGTACAACAACATTATTTTCACGAAGGGAAGAAAGTTGTTGATATAATTAGCAACAATAAAAAAAAAATTAAGAATTAACATTTTCAGAAGAAGTTAGTTGGAGGGAGGGAGAGGAATGCGGTCAAAAACTATTATATTATATAATAGTATATAGCATATATTATATATAGGGCATTCCATCTGGCACTGCTGAAGGCAATACAGAATACGACCATAGGCAATACGATTGGCACTCTGGTGTCGGTAAAGTACTATTAAGGGTCTAAAATAGAGGGTCAACAAACTACGAGTTTCTACAAAAATTAATGTATATGAAATGATTTTAAAACGAATTATCGTTTGAAATTTCGAAGCGACAGCGCCAATTCTAACTTAGTTATTAATTCAACGGTTTGCCAAATCCTGAAAATATTCAGGATTAAATATTTTCTATAAAAGTCATCGCAAAATAACTTAGTTTTGAAGTGTTTCTATGGAACAATTTACTATCGTAAACATTGGCGTATCCAGAGGGGTAGATAGAGAGCCAAAGCAACAATTTTATTTAACCAAAAGATTTAGTGCCACAAATCAATTAGATAGTATTTACTATCTGAAAATATGAAATGACCAGGTACTCCAAATCAGAGGAATCCAAGTCGAAAATTTGAATTTTAGTGTACTTTTTTTTTTTTGGTTCCTCGCCGTTAAGGCTATACGGGGGTTTTCTCGGGCCAGAGGATGTGGGCGGGAATTTAAAAGACTCCTTGGCACCGGGAAGCGAACTCGTGACTATTTTTATAACATTTGTCATATATCAGGTTGCCGAGCAACGGTAGTGCTGTGCACACGCATTAGCCCATTCGGCCACCCCGCCTACTAAATTTTAGTGTACTTTTTTGTATTTTCTGCTTTCTGGATTCCACATCAAACCTCATCGTAGCAGACTTCGGGAAAGGGCGTTCGCCCCCTCCCTATAACCATAGAGGAGGGGGAGAGGAGACTATCGTTTCCCCTCCATCTCCCTAATATTTCGAAGAACGAAAATAAAACCAATTGCAATTAATTCGCATGAATGAATAAAACACTGAAATCAATTGAGAAAATAGGAAAAGTCGACAAGATAGCTTAGCTAAGGCCTAGAAGTAGGAACGCAAGTATTTTACCACACCCTATGTTTCTATTATTGAAATTTTATATTATATTATATTTTAGATTAGATATGTAGCAACATATCCTAGGATTTTATAATTCGTTCATGTGCATGCCTAAAACATTCAAATAAAATATTTTCGAATATAACCATACAAAAAAAACAAAAAAAAAAAACTAATATTTAGCAGATATATAAATTTATTTTTATATGTAGTATTATTTATATAGTTCGTTTTACAATAAAGAAGTTGATTTATGTAAATTATCACTGATAATTTTTGATAAATAACATAAGCCTTCCCAACCAGAATGGAAAGTCTATAGACCTCCTCTCCCCCACCAAGATGTGTTATTATTGTCCTCTTCCTAATAACAGTGCAAGCGAAAGTAGAATTTTTAAAAATCTTACATCATTTACAATTGCACATATCTCTTACATGTTTTCCCCTTGTCCCCTGGAGAAACTTTTCATTCCGAAAATTCATAATCCCGTGAAAATGTACCCCCCTCAAAAATCTTGATGAAACCCCCTTCTAAGCACCGCTCATATCATGGAAACTATACCTTCTACCTATTATGAAAAAATTATGATAAATAAAAACTTTAATATTTGGTATGATTTGTATTTATATATTAATACAAATACGAAGTTTTAAATTTATTTGTCATAACTCCTAGCGACCACGAGGCTAAAGACTTACTGCTGTGCTACAGCGGCACAGAGGAGAGGATAGAACCGAGGCCGGCACCGCAGCCCAAGTACGTGCCCGAAGAGTACGCAGAACACCACCACCTATATTTAAGCCAACAAGTTGCGGTAAGAATTCTAATTTTTATTACAAATACTATCATGATGTAATAATGATAATAATAGTGGAATGGATGAGAATACATAAGGATTACTACTTATAGGCATATCCAATACAACAGGTCACTTATTAGATGATAGTTTACCACCCCACATCACGATTTATGTGATGTATTATCAACGAATAAGGGAGTGGGGTGGGGGTACCTTTGCATTGGAAGCTCAGTGCCCTACCACTGAGCTTCCAATGCAAAGGTCCCGAGTTCGAACCCCGGCTCATGGCAGAAAATTTATTTATCTGTTTCATTGGCCGTGGGGCGACCTTGGGTCAGAAGTCCCTCCTGGGGCACACCCAGCCTCTATAAAGTGGGTACCCTTAATTAAATAATTAATTAAGGGGGAAAACCTGGCGTTTGAGCGTGATCTCGGTCAAATCACCTCCTTGCACAACCGTTGACCTAGAAACAGTGCTTTCCCTAAATAGTACTGAACCCCATATCCTTCATGGGTTGTAGTGGTTACAGGTTTATCAACGAATAGCATCGCTTGAGGACTACTAGTTAATGGAGTGTAACTAAGTTAATTTCGGAAAAGTATCATTTAATTCATCTTCATTCTTAGTATCAGAGTTGACCTATGACTTTCATTCAGTTAAATATCAAAGGATTATTTTATGTTTCTTAATCATTCAGTGTCTCAAACCGTGAGCAGGCAAATAAAATTTCAGAGTTCTGAACGCAGGAGCGGATTTGTTTCACTGCCATCTACAGAATACTACAGAATATACTACTACACCTCTGTCCACAAGATACCGCAATTATTTAAGTACTGTATAGCGCTTAATTGAATGTTTTGTAAATTTAAAAATTCAGAGGTTTTTACATATGTTCCAAAATCTCTTATTTAAATTTTTTTGGTACCCCGGAGCCCAGAGCCATTAGCCAAATATGGCACTCGACGACCAGTGCTTCTTGCAGCATAAATTGGTTCACTACGGCACAGGCGGATCTAAGAGGGTGGAGGGGAAGCTTTCGGGCTGAAGCCCTCCTCCCCCAAAATGGTAAAATATAACCATGTTTTTAAGAAAAAAAATATCTTAAAACTATTATTGTTCGTCTAATTACGTTAAATAGAATTTAAAGAATCACTTAAACACCATTTCATAAAGGTAGTTAGTTTCTTTCTTTCTTCCAAAGTAATTATCCTAATGTATACATAAAAAAAAAAATCTTTCGGGCTGAAGCCCCCCAAAATAAAATCCTAGAACCGTTAGTGCACCACGGTAATTAGAAACTCGTTGTCAAATATGAATTACAATTCGCTCAAGAGGAATTGCTGGATTAAATTACATAACACTGAACAACCTTGTCTAAACTGCTGGAGAAAATACTGATGAAACTACATAAACGTTGTTTACGAAAGATTCTCCAATTCCATAGGAATATTCCCAACAGATTCTAGAACATATTCTCGATTAGGAACAGCCATTTTGTTATGAGCGATTTGATTAACGAGCTTGTACAAGATTATAAGCTTCAGGGCAAACTCTTGGCTGGTTTTAGGTTATTTATTTTCTTTGGTGCAATAATGGCTGCTTTGTCCTCAGGTTTACCAACAAGACTACAGCGGGGAGTGCAGCGGAGCAGACTACTCCGGCTACACTGAGCTCTACTACCCGACGGACGGACCCATCATCCAAGACCAGAGGCCCTACTCCTCCAGCAGCTCTTGTTCCAGCCACGAAGAGCACCACTACATCCCCCCGCCCTACGCAAGTGTCATCGTAGATTCCGCTGGTCTCGTCAACCAGTTCGTCCACTAACCTTTTACTCCTTCTGCACATTCCCTCCCCATCGTTTACCAACTCGTATACCTAAGATCCGATATTTATACTATTTATATAATTTTTTGTTTTCGTTGTACTTATTCGCGTTTGTTATTTAAACAATTATTGTTGTCAATGGTCTGGATGGGCTTATCTTTGAAAATCATTCAAGACAAAGTGAATGATACTGATTAAAGTTTTGATTTTTATTCATAACATAGAGTTTCTGGCCTCTGAAGTTTCCAATAAAATGAACCTATCACCAATACTAGGCAGAGAAAAATTCTACTGATAGTATGGTGTAGAAAGAAGTTATATTATATTCTTAGGTTTTTAAAATTAAGTTATTGCTTAGTGGGTTTTAATTGAAACAGCATTTAAAACAATGCATTACTTATGGGTTTCAAATACAAACAGAGTTTGATTAAAGCCCTCTTTGCAGAATTCAGTCCCATTATTCTTCGGTGGTCATTAACTACAGGGTCTAGAGTCATAGACATTGTTTGCCTAGTCTTCAAAACTATTATTATTGAAATTAAACCCTAATTGTGATATATGAAAGTAAATATTGTGTAACGGATTCCTGTGTGACAAGTACTATCCCTTGGCAGTGTGTTTATAGAGTAAACACCAGGTGAGGATGGGTTACTAGTCAACTGGAAAACATCAGCAAGGTCTTCGAACCCTACATAGGTCTTTAACAAGCTGACCTAGGTTATGCTTATATACATTATACATCCTCAACTTTCCATATTATCCTATTTCATAATTTTCCATAGATTTAACACTTATATCTTTCTACTTATTTTTATTATTATTACTTTTTTATTTTTTGTTTGCGTCATTTTCTGTTTCCTAACTTAGTATAATAATCATATTAACTAAGTTTATCAGACCTATAATTCATACTTTGTGGAACTAATATCATGTTATAATGGAAAAAGGAACTAATATCATGTTATACTCAACTGCGTTTGTGATAAAATTAGAAAGGGACAGTAAATACACAGTTTAACCTAATTTCAGAGGATGTTAAAGTAATTTTGGTAGATTTTATTTTGTGAAATAAATTATAATGCAATTTAGATTAATTTACCTGACTTAATTTCAAATAATCTAATATTTGTCTTGTCTGTAAACAATTTGTCTACCTAGTTTAAGGATTAATGTTGTATTAGCATTTTTTGTAATCCATTCCTAGAATATTTAATGATTTTTCAGTTTTTGGTTCATGAAAAAAATCAAAAATTTAATTTAAAATACTTTCACATTTCTTATTTACGGAATAGGTACTCATTAAATGTTAGTTTGATTCTTAAAAATTTTCCAGTTATTAATGTAGACCTATTCTATTAATGTACACCATTAATAGAAAATTAAAATACCTAAATATTACGAATTTTACATTTGAGACCAATATTACACTATGTTAAATTCAAGACCAATATATGATTACTATTTTAGTTTTAAAGATTATTTAATGATTCATAAATATGAAAAAATTAGTATGTCAATGTTAGGGGGTCCATAAAAAGATGGTTACGTATGATTTATTACTATCAACTCTATATTTAAGCGGTATGCAATATTTTGAAATATAATATTGAAAACTGGTCCCAATGGACAAAAAAAAAAATTTAAATCCAGAGATATCATTTATAAATTATGTAAATATATTTAAATCTAATTGGTTTTAAAATTGAAATAATATATAACTGTAAGCATTACCATATGGAATATCTGACAATAAAATCAATTACTAGTTAACTAACATACAGTAGCCAAAGACAAAATATTATATCATACATGCTCGATTGGGATTAGGAACAAATATTTTATTTTATAATGTAATGTTGTATACATATAAAATTATTCCAGCCCATCAGCTTACATGTAAAATATTCATTGTAACATAATATAAATATTATACATACAATACCATAGTTATAGACTTTATTGTATATATATATGTATATACATATATTTATATATTAAAACATTTATTGAATAATATTCCTACTGAAATGTACATAAGTATTATGGTACTTTCTGGAAAACAGTGCAGATAAAATATTTTAAATTAGTAATTAGTATTTATAATATATACTAAATATGTATCCTTATTTCAATGGTGATATGTAAATTACCATTGTTTGAATACCTAAATATGAAAGAAAATTTATTTATTAATTATGACTACAATATAGACTATCAAGTTTACAATATTTAAATAATTATCCGCACTGTTTCATTGTTGTTTAACAGATGGGTGTAAGAAATTAAGAAAAATTTATATCTCTTTCGTATCAGTACTACATTTTTTAAACACATTAGTGATCAAACATTTATGAAATTTTAATAATATTTATTCAGTGAATTCCGACCATGTAAGGTATTTTTTTTTTTTTAACAATATACCTCTATTTCACAAAAACAAATTCCAAACATTCTGCAGCATTCTTACTTTATTGCTCTCATCTGAATGTGTGACAAAACGGATGTGCCCTATCTGTGATGTGATAAATAAAAAATAACAAAATTTCACATCAACAGTTATTTTGTAAAGATTTTGTAAAATATTTCTATGGTGTATATAGATAATGTGATATATATTATTTTTGTGTCGATATAAATATGATATTATTATTAAATTGATTTATTTATGCTACTTTATTTATTGATAAATATAATATATTCCTTCCCTAATTTTTTATTTTTATTTTTTAACCAGTTCACTTGAACATAACATTCATATCCACAGCCTGTTCCATCATTGTCACAAACTCTTTTATATTTCTATTCTTTAAAATTAAATTAAAATCATAGGTTTTTTGTAAAAAGGTCGAATCTAATAATACAGTATTTTTTCCGAAGAGTATATTTCACAAAACTTTTCATGAAATGTTTTCGTGATTGCTTCATCATGTAATATGCTATAGTTCACAGCTCATGTATTAAAGTTACAGATTTATCCTTTTTATAAGCTGATAGCTATGTATGTGATGAATCTGGAAAGGTGAACTTCCAAAAATATTCCATATTTCTTTTAGAAAATCCACGACACGTCTGTAATCCAATTGTATACAAGTCAAAAATTAAAACTTTTCGGATGAGCCATTTTAAAGTTTGTTCACCTTCCAAAATGTATAAGATAGAAGAACACATGGACCACAAGCTTCAGAAGGTCGAGAAGAGAAGAAATAATATTGTGACGGATACGAATCGGACACTGTCTTTTCACACATGGATACCTACTTAGAGGTCTCGAAGCGCCAACCTGCTAAAAGTGTGACAATAAACCTCAAACAGTTAAGCATTTACTATTAGAGTGCCCCCAATATAAAAAAAAAAGAGACAAAAATTAAAGTTATCGACAACATTGAAAGATATTTTGGGAGACAAGGAGGAAAATGTCTTCATTCTCTTTCAATATTTATTGGAAACAATTCACTATAGTAAAATATACAAATTAAGAGAACCGCCAATGACCCTCTAGGGTAGAGGCGAATACAAATAAAAAAAAAAGAAGAACAAGCCAGTGTATTAAGTTTTTTATATTTCTCCAGTACTTCTATCTTCGTCATTTATATACAAATGTAAATCAACTTTCACAAGCCTGTAGCAAATTGAAGATATACTTCTTTAATAAGTAATAGAGTGCTATATGTCATAACTAATGGTGGAAATACAGAATATACATAAAAACAAATATTTTATAATCATGAGATTAGCAGAATATGTATAATTAATTTCTTTAAATTTATTAATAATCTATGGTAGTAAAACATGTTGATCTATTGAAAGAATAAGAAGATATAAACATTATAAAGAATAATAAAACACACAGTAATAAATTTTTACATTGGTGACTATTAAGACTATAAAAACAAGATACAAGAATAATATAAAAGAAGAAGAAATATAGTTTAATTATTTACGTGAATGGAATCTTACTGGGTTCATATTTCATTTTTTATAATAAATAAAAATATTTGTTAAAATCCAAAATAAATCATAATATTTAAAATTTTAATAAAAAATTATGATTAAAGACATAAAAAATAGCATCAAATTAATGGATCTCATGTCTGATCTTCATGGTTTCTGATTTCAAACATGGCCTCATTGAATTGTAATTATGTTAAGTAAAATTTCTTATGAATAAAGCTGTCAGAAAATATTAAATATTTAAGATTTAAATAGAAAATATTAGCTAAATTTTCAACTCAGCAAACTTAATAATAAAAATAAAATAAAATAATAATGTCTTTAACAATACAATTTGGAAACCCTTATTTTCTTTTTAAAGAATGTAATTTGATTATTAATCCCTCAAACATATTTTAAAATATAAAGTTGGATATTGACATTAATCTAATTTAATTAAATCTGTCAATAATAATAGTACAATGATTTAATAATTTTAAAAATCTTTACACTATAAAAAACAAAATAATGTAACACCCCTATATATTAAAAGTACATTATTAATTGAAAGTACCAAAAGATGAATAATAACTGAAAATATATAAGAAAATGATGTTACAGTCTTCGTTTGAAAACTATGCTTCTTTCTTTAAAAGCATCACAAAAAAATTACATTTAAAATGTAACATATTTTTCTTGATAAATAAATTTTAACTCTTAACATTGTAACTTGAAAGTATTGAAGACTTTAGTAACACCAGACTATAAGGGTTTACATTGGCTTTAACCAGGGATGCCTATCCCCCCAAGGTCGATGGCGCTTGAACCTGCATTCCTCCTTTCTCCCATGATATTTTATTGCTCTCATCTTCTTAAAACAAAGATCCCATATGTCATATCATGTAATTTAATCTCCTGTGGATCAGTTACAACTGTTGAATGGAGAATACTAAGGAGTTGCACAAGACCTTAGATACCATGAAGTACCGTGGTTTTTTAATTTATATTTTTAAGTTTAGTGGCGAGAAATACTTTATTGAAAGTAAAGCTGCCCTACTACACAGGGTTGC